CAACATCTCAGTTTTATTATCTTCTAATATACTTTGATATATTTATTATATAATAATCTATGATAGAATTTGGCCAGGATGCAAGCCTACAGCTTTGTGTCTTGCCAGATAGCTGTAGGTTACAATAGTTGTTATAGGGGACCCTGAGATTCACTGTGTCCATGTTCTGTTGCTTTTGTACTTTCTGTAAGCAGCAGCTGGTGGTTACTGACAGAGGGAGGCTTTTGAATTAGATGAACCTTTATTCTGCTCTAGTGAGGCCAGTGTTAAATTATGCCAGATGGGAAAATTATTTACTTTCAAAGTAATTTCTTCCCTCAGCAAGCTACCCCTTTAAACTAGTGTGAGAAATTACTACATAATTAGCAGTGTATGTAGATTCTGCAGAGACATGTGGTAGGAGGACCCAAGCATGATCAAAACATGGCACCTCATGAACAGGCCTGGAACGTGGAACAGACAGGTTCTTCCCTCCCTTGCCATGAAATCCAGCCACCAGGAGGAAACTGCTGGAATCTGAAACTAAACACTATATGCTGTGTTTCTTGGCACCAGATGATAAACACATGTGACCTCGTTGTATATGCCCCAGTAGGCACATTAAGATCTTGGACAACATGGTGAGCAAATTGGGAAAATATGTTGATCGCTTGGAGGTACTGGTGTAGTTGGTGGCAGAGAAAAGGAAGATAGATGAGCTCTTGTCATCAATGTTGCCTGGGTTTTTTTGACTGACGCTCTGTACAAATGTGTTGCTAACCAAAGCGTTGCTCTAACACGCTTGAAAGTAGGAAACAAAAGCTAATGGAGGATGCAAAGGAATATCAGAAGCAGGGGAAGAAATACGAAGGCAATATTGGTCAGCATGATGGGCAGTGATGTCCATGCATTGCATTCCTTGATTCCTAGTGAAGTTTTAGAAAATACTGTCAGTAACTTCGGCTTATTTCCAAAACAAATCAGGACAAATGAAGGAAATGGACAGCAAGAAACAGTGGTCACAAAAGAAATTAATCCCTTTTCCTCCTCCTTCCTAGCTTCACTGGAGAAAGCGGCTCATTGCTTGGTAGAGCTGCAACTTGTGTTCTCTCAGCATCCCCCTTCAAGTGGTCAGTCCCCTGAGTGACCTGTACAGCCTCTTCTATAACATCCTGAAAACACATGGTGTTTGGGACTTTCTGGCTATTGAGCAAATAGACATGAAATAGCAAAGCTTTTGTCGTGACTCTTCTGCTGGCTTTGGAGAGGGACCTCTGCTAGAATAACTCTAGGCAGGTTAGTAGCAAATGTGTTTTTGTAATCTGTTAATGGGAGCAAGGAAGAAACTTGTTTCCCCGTCTGCCAAAGAAAGGTGTGAAGTGGTTGAAGATCTCTCCAAGGAAAAAAAAAAAGAATAAAATTTCTGTTTAGTCCACTGAAGGACCATTGATACAGTAACTTCAAAACATTTTGGGTTTTTTTCCCCCCACTTTTCATTACATTTTGGAAAATAGTCACTACAGGATTGACGGTTCAGATTAATTTGCACCCTGCACCCCACATCTAGGATATGCAATAAGAATAGTTGCGCTCTTTTTGTTGCTAAAGGTAGAAACCCCAGTGATGCAGCACTGCTAGCACGGGTGGCTAGCAGCCTAACCGTCTGCAGTGGGATCAACCACACTGGAGAAATGGCTATTATGTCTGTGAAATTCCCGAGTGCCATGATTACTTTAGACACAGGCCATATACCCAGAGAGAAGCTGAAACTGCGTTATTGGCCTTCACACAGGCAAACAGCCCGAGTCTGGCTGGTTGTGAGCTGGGGATGGAGGTCTGGGTACATCAGAGGGTAAGGATTGCCACCCACTGAGGCATGGTGGCACACCTGTCACAAGTGTGAAGTAAAACCTGTTGGTGTAAACTTCCTTTCAGGCGATTAACCTTTGAGTTTTATCTTATGTTTGCTATAGGTGCTTGTGATCTGTTACTGTGGGTCACCAGGTACATAATTAATCGTGTATCAGAACCCTCAAATTTGTTGTCTTGATTTTCTGTATGTGTGGAGTTTCTTTTTCCAGTACAGATAAAATAAATGCAAAATTTGCAAATTTTCTCAGTTCACAATTCGTCCTCAGAAATACCAGATCAGGCTACATATTTTTCCTTGATGACTATTTCTGTTCCAGTAACATTCCTCTCTACTGGAGTGAGTACCAATCTATTCGACATGTCGCCCTGTTGTGGCCCGCTCATGTCATTCTTTCTGCCTCAGTTTTTCTCAGTTTGTAAAGGGAAGATTAAATCTTCCAGATTAATCAGTTACTGTTTTTAGAGTACTTTGAGGTATTCACTAAAAGGTGCTAGCATGGAAGTGTTGGGCGTGAAGACAATGAGAAGTGCTCAGAATGCTCTTATCAGGGCTTATTAATCACTGTGTAAATTTATGGTGCTGTGCAAACATTTCATAGTGATAAGACCTCTGCTTTAGCATTAGACCTCTGCTTTAGTGTTAGACCTCAGTTTTAGTGCTCACCAAGGAATAGAATCTACATGCCCCACTTCATGTCATGCAGTACTGCATCATTTGGACTCTGCTGAATGTGCTTATGGAAAAGCAGAATGCAATTTAAAACTGCAAGATCTCAAAACGTATTTCAGGGCCATGTTACTGACAAGTCTGTGCTACCTATTGTGGCTTAATTGTCTTTTAAAAATAAGATCGATATGATATATATCCTGAATGTCTGTCTTAGGCGTGTTGACGTATGTTGCTCTGTTTGCTCCCAGAAGAAAAACGCTGGTGTTATTTTCCAATTAGAGCAGATGAGTAAGCAGAAAACCAGACTGTCTTGCAACAGGGGGGAATCCCTTCCAGTGATTCTTTGTGTCACAGTGTGTAAATGCCCAGAGGGAGCCAGACTGTGGGAGGAGAGTGTTAATGTGGATGAACTACATGCAGAGAAAATTTAGCAGGAGAGGAGGCGCAGGCTGCTCAATGTGGGCAGCAATCTGGGAAGGCTGGAGACTGGCTGCCCCATAGAGCACCTGTTTGCATTGCAGGTAGGCTTCATATAGGGGAATTTAACAACATTTCTCTTAGAATTTCAAATAGAAACATGTCCAACAATTGCTTTTAAAGAGCAGACTAAGACATTAGGTAGGTACTAGGTTTTCCCTGTAACAACAAAGTAAAGAAAAATGTATTGGACAGCAGGCTGATCTCTATGCTTCAGGATGCAAGGCAGCTTCTGACAGAGCTCAGGACACTTGTCTCCCCCTTGAGTGCCTGCCTGACTGCCTAGCTGCAAGAATTATTATTTATTTTTCTGAAGCCACTGGACTTGACCTTTGCATGGCCACAATGATATCCTACATGAAAGGGCTGTGGGGTCCAATTAATCAATAGCTATTTTTTCGTCTATGCCTGTGAGTTACAGCTGCCCATTGGATGGAGATCACTTGAAAAGATCTGATCTTCGGAATGGAGTGAGGAGGTTCACTCCGAATACAGGCTATGTACTTCTATGATGTGTTTTGTGTGTATCGAGTCATGGCTCTTACGATAATATTCTGAGACAAGTAGGGTTTTTCCTTGTCCCTGACTGGGACATTTAAACAAAATGTCATGGATTTACAGAATAAAGAGATGAAGTTGGTGTTTAAATTAGGATTAATTTCGGAGTGACAGATCTTCTAACTCTGGTCTGTCTAAATCAAACAATTCTGTCAAGAGAGTGCCCTCTGTTGTATGTAATGGCTAAATGCATGCCATCACAACGGACAGTTTTTCTGCAGGCTGTCGGGGTGGATGCTGTCTGCTGTAATTTCAGCTTCTCAACAGCTTTATTTTTCGCAGTTACTTATACATACGTATGCGTATATATGCACCTAGAGGAGCAAGGGGGATCTGTGTGTCTTTGAAAACTGTGGCTGTAATGTATGAATGTTCTAGCTATGCATTATCTTCATAACAATGAGGTTTCAAAAAGAACAGGGACCTTAAAATCCTTAATTTAATAGAATTATTCAGGAGGTTTCCTCTCTACAATCAATAGCAAAAATTCTATAATGTGCTTATGCTGCAGTATGTACAGACACAGGTACACCCACTGTGTTCATTAACAGAAGTGTAACAGCTGTAGTCATTCTCCTCTCTTTCACATTTAGGGTCCTGCAAGTTTCATGGAAGAGGCCTAAGGAATGTTTCTTACACTTTCAAGAGTTTTGTTCAGTATTGTTTTAGTCATTACCAGAAGGAACCTACCATCACTCTTGCTGGGAAATTGTTTTATGTCCTGATATTTCCTGCACTTTAGAAATCATGTTTTCCCTTTCTAGTGATTTCTTCTTGCTGTTTAAGAGCTGTTGTTACTCAGGTACAGAGCTAATACCTGGACCCTGTTGTATCTGACACCAGCTATGTCTTCAAGGAAGTGTAAAGCTCATTAGCTTGTTTTCCAACCTCAGATGTGCTTAATTTGCATCCATACCATGCAGCTATCCAGCACTGAGGCTGTCCAGTCAGCAAGACATCCACCTCCTAATAGTATTGTACCTACTGCAGCACGCATCGTACTCTACTTAACTCAACCAATCAATACTGACAACGCTGAGAAGCAGGAAAGAAATGTCAGGTAATTAATTCTGAGGACCTTCTAACTATTGCTACATAAATAGCATCCTTTTCTCCCATCCTTGACATGTTAGGTTAGTTTTCATCTTGTTCAAGGGCTTCACAGATCAAGCTAGGACCTTGCAAGACCAGGCCTGGAGGGGAGTTTGGTACCACACTGAGACTGACAGGGAAGGGGGACCCTGAAGGTAAATTTGGCATTGAAAAATGCTGAGTTTGCACATCCCTGTGTTCCTTGTAGAAGCACGTACTGTTGGCATCACAAATCTTTAAAAGGAGACATTGGTGGAATACATAACCCTTGGGTTTCCGCTAGTTTAAAATGCCTGTAGAGACTGGGGAGAGGCAAATCTGCTTTGGGATTCTCCAGTATTCAAGGCACAAAGCTCATGGAATGTTTTATTTATCTGGTAAAATGGTGCACAAGGATTTTTTGTGACTGTCATTTTTCCTCCGTAAAATAAACATCTTTAGTTAAGAAGTCCAGGTCCAAACAGGATTGGGAAAAGTTAAGAAACACAGCTGTGCTGCATATTATAATAAAACAGCACAAAATCCAATCACAAAGAGTAGGTGGAAGATGATATCTGCAAGAGAAACATAGACTAAATGTGAGTACTTCCCTGTCAGCTGCCTTTCACATTCTCTTCCCACCCTCATCAGTGCAACTGCATGCCCCTAATGTGGCTCTGTCACCATATCAAGTTTTAACAAATAGGCTTTGAAAGTCCTTTTTCAAACCCTCTCCAAATAGAAATGCTTTCAGTCATCTCCGTTAATGCAGTGAAACATGCTTGTTCCTTTTTGGGAAGAGGGTGTGAAAATACGAGGAAGTAACGTTCAGTATTGGAAGTTATTGGTATGATTTTATTGTCCAGAGTGAAGGATGTGCCAAAAAGAGGAAAACAAAGTGTGCAATGTTGAGAAATAAAATTTCATTTTGAAATATTTCCTTCTGTCAAGTTTACTAGATTTTTCAGCTCTTTCTTTGAATTATGGGTTTAATGTTGACAGAGTCACTCAAAAATCCATATTTGGGATTGATATTTTCATTGTCATACTTTGCTATTTACCTGAAAGTGTGTAAAATCTGGATAAACCTTTGCCTGTATAAAATAAGAGAAAAAGATAACATTGGGATGGCATGTTTAAAATAGGGCAAAGTGCACCAGCGTGCTTTGTAAAAGCAGAACAGATAACATTTGCCACATTGAAATTCTGGATATTTCTTCCTCTTCGCTTTGCTGTCTGAGGTTATAAAAGGATCCTCAGTTCTTTTATCTTCTAAAACTGGTGGGGGTTTACTGGTGCAACATACTGAGTTATAATAATGCTGCTCTACATGTACTTGTAATTTTAAATTGGCTTTGAGGTTGGTGTCATGTAGTTGATAAACTAGTACAAAGGGCTCTAGTGAAAACACAATTTAGGCATACATTGTTCCAAGGACCTGTTTCAAAAGATGTGCTGGATCTGCAGAATTAAACCAGCTCAGGGAGAATTTCCTGGTGGCTCCAGGAGGCAGCAGTTCAAGGAAATGGGCATTGCTTTATAATGGGGAAACCTGATGGCAGTTCAATTTGTGTATCAGGAGGGATAGGCACGAAGGGTTAACCTACCAGAGTTATGGGTATGCTGAAGTACCAATCTGCAGGGTAAAAAAAAGCTTTCCTGCTGCTTCTAAGCCTGACCTCTCTCCCACTCATGTGTAATCTATCAGAGCTTGTCTGGGCTGCTGCTGAGGTCAGATGCAGGTGAGCAGATTTTACATTGCTAACTTGGCGTGTAAGTGGTTTGGCCATTTGTCATTAATGCCAAATGGGTGCCTTTACTCACTTTGGAAACAAGGAGAGTTTCACTGAGCTCTTCTGCCAGAGCCCGAAGGGGACCAGCTTCAGTTCAAGACTCCTGCTGCTATGGGGGAAAGGGCTCTGGCAGAGGGCTTCAGCTCCTCCTGCTTGCTCCTACGCTGCGAGCCACGGGTGGCTCCCACCTTCCTTGCTTCCCAAAGGGAGAAACACCCCAGAAACCCAGTCACTTACTCCGTACAGCGATCTCCGCCACTAAAACACCTCCAGTTTGTTCCATGCGCTGTTTTCGTTTGTCACATGTCTCGAGAGATCAGAGAGAAAGTCATGTATACCAAAAAAAAAAAAAAAAAAAATTAAAAAAATATCCAAACCCAATTCTCATGTTTCCATCCAAGGAAATTAAATCTGTGTCAATATTGTTGCAAACTTTCTAGGGATTTTTTTTTTTCCCCTATAATTATTGGGGGGTTTTGGTGCAGGAGAGATTTAAGGAGAGTCTTTACAGTGCATTTTCTGAGGGTTTTGGCATGCCACAGCCCTTACAGTGACTGTCAGTGAAAGTGCTCTTTTCAGTTGTGAGATGGCAGGAGCCCAGATGGGTGTCCGCTTGCTAATCACAGGTCCTCCTCAGTTGCCTTTTCCACCCTGCCTTAAACAGGGTGACACCTGTGAAGGCTTCAGTTGTTTATTGCTAATTATAATTGTTGCCTATTGGGTAGAAACAGGAAGCAGCAAATCCCATCCATATAGATCATCTCATGTCCAGCACTAATGATGGCTGTCACAGCTGACAAGGTCTGTGCTGGAGGCAGTGCTCTACAGATTAAAGGTCCTTGTCCATCCCCTGACCTTTGCAGATCCCCAGCTGTGGGCATTTTTATTTTTTTTTACAAACTCAGCGTGTAGTAATTCTGGTTATGAGTTGCTTGTAAGCATAGACCCCCTAGCTTGGTTCAACCTTAATTGCAGCAGACCACCAGCTGCATTTTTGGGTTGAAAGTGGACTCAAGGGATGTTAGCCTGATCGAGCAATTATCCTACGCTGGATGGTGAGGAGGGAATTCCACCCTGTGCCTGAAAGGATGATGTAGATGTTTGGCAGTACTGTCAGAAAGGCAGATATGGAGTACTGGTTTTGTGTTTTCTTTTAACCCTGGTCTATGTCTGGATGAAAAGTTGAAGAAATCTTTAAGAACAAACAACAAAATCCAAGCCCAGAGTTTTTTCTTTTGCCTTTGAAACTTAGAATTTCTAACAATGCATTTTTGTCAAACCTGCAAATTTTGCACAAATCAGTGCCCCCCGCTTAGCACTGAGGCTGGGTAATAAGCTGCTATCTTAATTTGGCTCCTGGACTGAGAAAGAGTTTAGAAATAAAAGTTGGTTTCAACAGGAGTGTTGCTTTCTCTTCTCCAGCAAGAAATATTTGTTGCTGAAATGACAGTATGTCGGCCAAGGAGTATTTTGGGCTTTCATTTCAGGTTAAATAAAATTTGACTTCATTTTATAGCAATGGCACACTCATTGCACACAAGAAAGAATAGTGAAGCTCTGACTTAGTGAAGGGGGGAGAGGGAAGTCTTGAAAGACAGACACTTGAGTAGCCCTTACCCTTGCATCAGCTGGTGCAAGCAGCGTGCACCTCCCCGTGCTAAATAACACTCCCGTATTAGCATCCCCACCTCATTCCCACCTAAGATCACAGGAGCCTACTCTTCCACCTCAGTTCCTGCTCCAGTGACAATTTATGTACTTCATGCAGAACAGGAAGGCTGCAAGAGCAGGAACTTACTGCAGCTTGTTGCAGGATAGCAGAGAGGACTTTCCTTGGGAAGGGGGACTGGGAGGTTTTGTTTGACTAGCGATGGGCTTTGAGCCAGGTTCTCCCACTGCCCTCAGGGTGCCCTCAGCACTGAGGTATTTGGTAAAATGGAAGAAAGCTCTACTTTCTCCCTTTTTTCAGGCTTGTGTTTAACTGTAGCTGTTTGTCAGACAGGACTGTAGCCTGGGATATCAACAAGAGCTGGGTGTTTCAATGGCTGCCTTGTTTCTCAATACGTTTAAACAAGTTGCCCAATGTTGCGTACAGTGCCTGTGGCATGACGGGGTCGGGGTGCAGGGCTGGCCACTCAGGTTCGCGCATTGCGGTGGCCCCATTTACTGAAAGCCCTGGCGCTGGCTCCGCACCCAGCGTGCCCTCAGGAAGGTCTCGGCATCCTCTGTCTAAATTTAGCACTGCGTGCTTCTCTGGGAGGGAGGCCTTACCACTGGGCAGGAGAACTTCTCGCTGTCACAGACGTGCGTCTCGCAGTGCAGCCAGACCTTGGACAGCTTGGGGATGTTACGGAAGCGGAAAGCGTTGAACTGGAACGTCGCCCGGCTCGTTTTCCCGTTCTCGTGCACGAGGATGGAGCTGTCCGTGGCACACCTGTGTTGTGTATGGAGAAGCAGCGTCAGAGCCTCCACGGCTTCAGGGAAACGTCTCCTGAGGTCGCGGTCTGATGAATGCATTTGGCCTGCTGTGGGCCAGCTTCTCTTTTGCCCCCTCATCCCCCAGTCCCCGGCCTTCTGCCATCCTCAGGGCTGGGCTGGGCAGAGGTGCTACCCCGGGTCCCACCAGCACCTACCCCTTGGTGATCAGGGGCCAGTGGATCTGGTAGAAATACTCTGAGGAAGGAGTTGCCCAGCAGTTGTTGAGAACAACTTTGAACCTGGGGAGATATAAACCCCAGATTAGCAAGGAATGTCCTGTTTGCCAATTTATTAATTATTACTCCTTCCCTTGCCTACCTGTCACTTAAGCCCTTAGCTTCAACTCCGGCAAATATGTCAGAACCAATTTCTGATGTTTCAACGACGAAAGGGGCTTCTTTTATACTTGAAAACTTGGCATTCTTTGAAAGACAAAGAGAAAGGCATCATACGTTACTAGTGACATGCAAAGCAAAAGCAGGTGGCAACTTCAGACAGCTCTGAAGACATGGACTCCAGGAGTCTGGGCTCTTACTACCTGCAAGCTGCAAACTCTACACCTAGTAGTAGGCCTATTGCAAGCCCAAGATGGTGTTTAAAAATCTTTTTGTTAATGTTTGGCTTATAATGATAATAAGTGACAGAATTTGATGCTGTTTGGGTTGTGGTATGTGTTATATCACAGCATGGGTGAGAAGTGAGCTTGCTGCTGCCTCTGGTACACCAGAGGTGGTGGTGGAAGCTGGTGGGAGTAGGGGACTGGAGATAACTGTATAGAATGGGAAGGGGCTTGGGAGATGGCCACGTGTGACGGAGAAGGAATGAAGACAAGCAGAAATCACGTGCCTGCGCGCAAAGGGTTCAGCACTCTGAGATTTATGCTTGTGGTGGCCAGCATGGGGAGAGCTGTGGGGGCACAAGTGTGCGGAAAGAGCTCTGCCAGCTATAGTCATTCACCCACTAAAAAGCCAGTCTGCTCAAAGTAGTGCAGTGTGTGGTGCTCAGGTGAAAAAGTTCGGTTACAAATACACTGAAGTACCTACTTAAATCACACTGCTTTTATTGCATAAGGTCAGAATGAAGCTAGCACCAGAACTATATAAAGAGTAACATGTTTAGCTGTAGAATTTGTTTACTTTGTTAAATCTACTCAGCAGGATTCAGGTATATGTAGTTCTGGAGCTGTTGGACTATGTTGCCCTACGGTGCTCGCTCAGTTCCCTGGTACTGATTTTATGTACTTTTCATTGCCTACACAGCGAGGTGGCTGTGAGGCACTACAGTATTCCCACTGCAACATCTGATAGATTACATGCACTGAAGTTAAGGCTTAAGGCTGTGTTTAGGTTAGTGACCTATGGCTGTTACGTGCTCTGAGAAATTCTCATTTAACCAAAGATTTCTCCCGAAGGAGAGAACTTGCAGAAGTACTGTCACAAAACTCTTATCAGTCCTTGTGCTAAAACAAGTTGAACCTGCTATAATGCCTCTTTTTCCAAACTCTATTGCTCTACACTGTTTTAGGGTATTATCTTGCTTTTCTTCACAACAGGTTTCAGTGTTGAAGGTCTGATTTCCATTCAAGCTCCAGCCCCTCATGCTGCATTACAGTCCTTTGCTGTTAACGGTGTGTCACAGACTAAAGGGCAGGTGAGACTGAAGGGTTGCCCCTGGGTCACACTGCAGCTTGGGCACTGCTTCTGGGTGAGGAAATGGGCACATGAACCACCTGGAAGTATAGCCCACCAGAGGCAGAGGGCTGTGTCAGGCAGCAGCAGAGATGTATAGCAAGGCAAAATAAATCTTTTATTTCCATCCTGAAAAAAAAAAACAAAAAAACCCCGAACATTTCATTGAAAGTAACCTTTTCTCCCCAGTGCAAACGTGAACAAAATAACAAAGGAGTGGTCTATTAGCTTTCTGAGCTTGTTCTGTACTTCTGCTCTGTGGGAAAATGTATTAGTACAGTTCAGCCACTCCCTCCTTGACTCCTGGGAGCCCCATAGCCATTAGAACAAAACAGTTGTTTGGCAAAAAATTAAAGGTACCAGAGATTCATTGCTCACTGTCCATCATTTGGTTTTGTAGCCATTCTGTCAGGACTTGACAGGAGCACTGTGGTACCTCCTGGGACCTTGCCAGTATCTACTACCAGTGTACCATATATCAGAAAAAAAAAGACCACATGGGCTTTCATGTGGCACCCAAAGCCTGACAAAGTGTTCAGTGATCAATTGGTGCCCAAAATGCAGGGTGTAGGGGGACAGATTTCCATCAGTCCACCTTGTGGTAAATACTCCCTCTACCTGGCCTATAAATTTAACACAGTATGTTATTAGTTGTGCTTTTTCTAGCTGTACTAAAATAGAGGGGCTGTTTTGGTGCTTTTGACTGTGCTTTGCTGGAAAAAAGGCTCCAGGATCAGGAGCTGGCTGCTCCAGCAGCAGCATGACCTAAAGATCTCTGGGGAACACGAGATATCTGTCGGGTGAGAGGACCAGGAAGCAAACTGCAAGAGAAATGCATGGAGCTTTGCTGTATCTATAGAGACTATGTGATAGCAGCAGTGCCTGCAGATGCATGCTGCTTTTTCAGTGGGACTACAAACAAGTTTTGCTTTTTCTTATAAAACCTGTCAGCATGTTAGAAATGTGCCTTTCAGCAGAAAAATCTGCCTGATTTGGACAGATTAAAAGAACAGTTGTCATGTGTCTGCTCTGATCAGTTTAAGTGTATCCCTGTTAATCAGCAGAAACAAGGACCCCTGCAAACTCCACTGTAATTATCTGTTCCAGACTAGTGATATGCTCCATGACACATAAAAGTCAGGAGCAGCAGCCCTTTTTTTCCAGCTCTTAGGCTGAAGCCTGTGGAAGGTGAAGGCGAAAAGCTGGGTGGCAAAGAGCACTTACAGAGTAGAAGTTGAGGGACAACTGACTTTCAAACGAGCCGGAGCTCCCATTCTTCACATGGACGGTGGCCACCCTGGGGACATAACAAGGTTTCTGTATGAGTCAGACGTGGTGCTGAAGATGAGGTGAGGTGCACTCCCAGAAGTGGACGTACCTTTGGTCAAAGGCAGCCTGGTTCACCAGGTAGTTGGCATTATATGTGCAGGTGAATGAGTAATTCACAGGCTGGCTCTTCACAATTACTGAGGAGTCATTGGAGACAATGGAGTTGTAGAAATGATAAACGGGGTTCTTGAACTGTGGATGGCGAGACAGAGAAATGTAGGCAGTACTGAGTCTTTGAGGCATCAGGAACAACTTTGTAGTTTGAAACATGAAGACCCTGGTGACAAAACACTATCCCCAAGGAAACATGGTTTTGTAGTTCTTTATATGCTGTGCTGCCTATACATATGCCTTACTATATATATGTTCTGTGTCATAGAGGTGCAAATGGGCAACTAACACACAGACATTTTGCCTGTAGATGCAAAACATAACTATTTGATTCTTCCTTCTCCCTGATATTGGATTTTGCCTTCTTCCATCAGTACTTAAAGCCTACTCCAAGCTGAAACAAACAGGACTCTCTCAAGTGAGTCCAGTTGATTTCTGAGTCCAGCTTGGAAATGTTGACCTTGATAGTCTTACCTCTGACTGCGTCCCACAGTATGATTTGTTTTTAGGTGACAGGTCTGGGATCGTGAATTGGTAATATCCCGAGTCATGGATCCCATTGTAGCAAATGCCTCCGAGTGCCAGCTGATTAACCTCCCATCCATAAGGACACTCCGGAATTTTGGTAATGATGGTTTTAGGATAGCAGTATACCAGAATTACATCTGAAAGGAAAATAATACACCTAGAGTGATATTCAGTGGTGTTTTTCTTTGAAAGACGTGGGTCTGCACACCTACTTTGCATTGGGATTAAACTTCTGTGAGCAGGGGTATGTGCTGGAAGGTCCTCTAATGTGAGCAGCTTTTGCTACACAAAACTAACCTTTGGGTTGTTAAATTCTGTCCTCTTTGGAAGAGTTTGGCCTTCTAATCAATGCAGAACTTTGTGTAAATTTTTTATCTTTCTGGAATAGCTGATTGAGGAGCAGAGACACTGCTGAGAAATCTGAAGTGAAAAATGGCTGCGCTGAAATCTGTCAGATTAGCTTATGCTGGCAGAGCTGCCTTCTGTAACGCCACTGATTCTGTAAAAATAATATTGGTGAAGTTGTTTGTTAGGCTTTGGTAGATCTGCACCTTTTTGTGTCGGTGTTAGATCTAGGCCACGATAGATATTCTGCCCTTTCTCTCCTTTCACTGGTGTTGCAGCGCCAGCGCAAACTGAATTTTTACCATTCTCAAGTTAAAAGCTAAGATCTAAAAATGAACTGAAAAGCCTAGCCTTGTTAATGGCAATAATAAATGAGCTGAAGAGCCTAGCCCTGTCAATAGCAATAGTAAATGAACTGAAATCCTAGCCCTGTTAACAGCGATGGTTAATAGCAGTGGAATATGTTTCCAAACATGGTGATTGCTAATACAACCATGAATATTGAACATCATAACTTAAAGACTGATTGCTTCATGATAGGAGAATTGGACATTTTTCAGAGAATCAGGCAGTGCAAATTTGAATGTCCGATGGGAATTTAAAGGGCAAATATTGACTAACCATTAGTGACCTGAAAATTGAGAAAGACTTCCAACTACCACAGTCAGAAAAAAGACACCCTGCCTGGAATTACTCAATTATTTCTTTTACAGCCCTTGACACTCTCATTTTTATGATAAAAGCCTCATTTTGTAGCCTTTCCATATCTGTTAGGGAATACTCAGGGAAAGTCAATAATGGACCTTAACAACTCACTCCTGTCTGGTTAACAAACCGTCGGCACACGCAGGCTGATTCTGCTTGTGTTGATGGTCAGATTTGTAACTCTGGTGACTTTACAGCTGTGAAAATTCCTGCAGTTCAGAGAAACTGCTTGTGTAAATGCAGGTACTGAAATAAATGGCTAGAGGGCCATATACTCAAGGTATACCATGAAATTAGTGACAGTAGTCTGACACCAGTCACACACATACAAAGCAAACACTCTATACTGAGGCGTATTCCAAAACATTTCTAAAGCACATTTCTTAATTGTAGTGAATTCTACATTACAGGTCTGCCTGGCACCAGATCATTTGAGTTTCTAGGCAGAAAGCAGTGTGCAATTAGAGCCTTCCTTCAGAGATTTTGGGTTTTTTCTCGTTTAGCAGTGTGGTTCAGGAGTTCAGCCCAAGCACATTCATTCACCGCAAGTCATCTGCAGTCAGTGGGACTGAAGCCCAGCTTGGGCAGCGAAGATCTGCTGCATCTAGCCTGTGCTATTGCAGATAATTTCTAATTGTTGTTTTCTTTGCCATTTTATGCCTGAATTCTGCTTGTGCTTAACTTTATTGCACTATGATTATTGCACAGAGTGAAGCATATGCCTAATTCTCTGCGGGCCTAGGACTTTAGTGGGATGTGCTTTATTGTGCTAGCTGAAAGCAGATCAATAAAAATGTAAATAAAAAATGTAAGCATTAGCACTCCAGAATCCACAGGTTAACTTTCTGGAGAAAAACTTTCCACTTTTAAATAGAAGAAAACCCTTTGGCAGCTTAATTACAAGAGAAGATCATAAGAGACTTAAATTATTTTACCTGCTTTATTTGGATTGCAAGGCCCCGCAAGAGCTTGAGCCAAGATGACCAGCAGATAAATAGTAAGAGTCACCATTTCTTGCAATGATCTGAGGACACAGGGAATAAAAGCTGAAATTGTCTTTAAAATTGGAAAGAGAAACAATGCAGTGACTGCAGACCTGAAAGTGTAGCTACTGTTAAATATGTTCTTCTTGCAGAGAGAAACAAATAACATTACTGATATTCTGTCGCCCAACTTAATTGCACCTACAGGATAAATATTTCCAAGACTTTTATTATCACTGGGTCACTATTGTGACAATTTTACTGTTTCAGTTTAGTGGTGGCTTTTAATTATTCTAGTTTTTCTTTGTTCTTGTAAAGAGTCTAAACCTGAAGTGTTAGTATAACCAAGTGAAACTGAAACAATGTAATCTGAGAAAAGAGGGAGTAGAAATTACTAGAAGAAATATGATGCAATAACATACATACTGTGCTTATAAATTTAATGCTGAAACTATTCTCTGTGGTGATGGCTATCCTGATGTATATAATCTTAACTTCATGTAGCTCAGTTTTGGTAAATCATGCGTTTTCTCCTTTACTGCTAAATGTTGAGTTTTTAGGAAAACAGGGAGAAGCATGTACAGCCTGTGGGATTGGGACTGGAGTTCTCATATTTTCCCTTAGTAGACACTCCTCAGTGTCAGCCCTCATATACATAGTACTGAGCAGACTGTCAGAAGTAACAATTATCATTTAGGTAAAGACAAAAAAATCTTCCCGATTAAGTATTTCCAACAAAAACAATCAGTTTCAACATTTTCACTAAGCCTCTATTTAAAAATGCATATTTATAAAAGGCTCATACAGTATATTTCAGTGACAATTCCTTCTAATTATAATCCTATGCATTCTACAAGAAATTAAGTATTATACCTACGAGACAGGAAGGGGCTAAGTATTTCAGATTTTCATTCCAGTCTTATTCCAATAGCTGCGCTGTCGGCTCTTCCCAAGATGTCCTCTTTCAAATGAACCCAGCTGGCGTTATCTTCGCTTTATATAAGCAATCTTGTAAAAGGAGCCCATCTCTGGTTAAATCTCAACCCACCAGTATTGTCCAGTGAGGGAGGGAAAAAAGAGTTATAGAAAAGCAGTTCTCTTCCCCTGGATGGGACTGTGTTGCAGCTATTTGATTTTTTTGAAAGACTTCCTATGGTGGCTTTTTACAGATCTTGAAAATAATTGAACAGAAACCTGCTGAGGGTATATAACTGGCACAAAATTTTTGTTTTACAAGTTAATTAGGAAAATGTAGAATTTCTGTAAAGGTGAAGCTGCAGCTGCCTTCTAGAATTCAGCAAAAATGTATTTATAGGAATTAGATGCCTGTCTTGAATGGCTTAGTGACAATGTCAACCTTTTGTGCCATGCAAGTGGACAAAAGTAATTTCAACAGATATATACCACCTTGGGTTTTGGGGTTTTTTTTACTTATTTTTTCTAAAAGTTCACAGGCATGTAATCTGAATTTAGATAGGATCTTCCATAAGCCTAAGTATTATACTACATAATTATAGTACCTATATAAGGTACTATATACCTACATATAAGACTATGTAATATACATTAAATACTACACTATAGAATGTGTAAAATTGGCCGTTGCACAGAAAGCTGAAACAAATTTGCTCTTCATATGACCATCAATCATGTGGCTGCTGTATGAAAGCCTTGGTTAGCTGGTAAGATTTTCTGGTGACCTATTACATCCTGTTTGTGTTATCTTTTAGTGATAGGCCCAGAAAAAGGACTTGGGTACGCTACTGCTATTTTACACGCTTGCATAACAAACGTGAGTTGTAAACAGTCTTGCCACATAAACGGCCTCAACTTTGGGCACGGGTGTATCCACCCAGATCCGGGTGCTGTCGAGCTACTTATGCTCTGATTCTGTCTTGAGTCACAAAACACAGAGGATCTCGCTGACCTTGCCTGTGGGACCCAGTCCTGTGGGGCTCCTCAGAGATGATTTTGGTGTCTCCTTCGGTGGAGACCCTCATTCTGCCCCATCTGTGGCAGGAGTTTGGTGTGGATCTGCCTTCTCTCAAGCAACTTTTGGCACGTAGGGGTTACGCAGTAGTAAAGCTGTACCAGTTGTCATTAGTCTGGAGTTTTTGAGGGAGGAGGGAGTGGGATGGAAGAGCACAGTGGCCCTGACCTTAACCTGAAATGCTAGACAATGAGTTTTCAGCTCTCCTGTGGGTGAGATTTATGGGTGTACCTTCAGGAAAGCATTCACTACAAGGAGCGTCTCAAGCCAGATGGCATTAGCAAAGCATGGCCATGACTACACCATGCATTGTAAGGGATGCCAGCTCTCGCCCAGTGATGATGGTGTGCAGGTGAATCTACAATGATATGAAAATGTTTATAAGTAATTAGGGTGGTTTCTGCTTCTTCCAAACTGATCCAAAGCCCTAAAGAAAGGCTGAAAAGCCCATAAATTTCTGTGTTTAATTTCAAATAATAAGCCTGAACCTAGACCTGAAGCTTCATAAGGATTGCAATACAGAGCACATAACAGGCTGCTCTCACTCTTCTTGCGAGCCAAGTCCTGCAAGCCATCACATTCTGATTTAAATGAGATTACTGAAAGATGTACACGAGTAAAATCCTTCAGCCAGGGTTTGTTGTTAATTTAATTGAATTAAAGAATTTAATTGACTCAAGAACAAGAACCAAAGCTCATAGATGATTTGGTGTGACCTAACTAGGGATTATCCTTATCAGAAATCCTAAAATAAGGAAGATTTAGCTCTAGGTGTCTGTTTTATAGCCTCACCCCATATCCTGCAGGCATTGAGGCCCAAATTTGATTTCCTAAGCCCAACTCTGAATATACACTGTGTAAGCATTCGCTTGTTTTTGTCTGTCTGTGTGTGTGAGTGTGTATTTGGTCCGGACCAGGAACCAGAGTTTCTGGTGAGACATTATGACCCACCCTGTTATCAAGCATATATAGTCCAGAAACAAGGGGAGGCTTGCAGGAGAAAGCTTGTGACTTTGTGCATGAGAAAGGCCTCATGACCTTGTACAAACTGATTCTTCAAGGTCAAGGGACCAGATTCAGCCCTGGGGTTGGACTTGGTCTCTCAGGTCTGCCCACACAGGGCTGATTTTGAGCATAAAATATTTGGCTAAGCTTGATTAGGCATTGTGTAAATGCCTTGCTAAAAATGATGTAAGTGGTCAGCCTCGCCATAACATTAAGAAAGCACCTGAAACACAGATTAGCTTTGTTCTGATGATTTTTAGCAAATACTGCAATGAAATTATCATTGGTGTAATGCTACAGGTTTCAGTGGAATTACTCCAAGATGGATCTAGTCCCATAATTTTTGAAAGAAAATAAATCTCTCACTATCTTCTCACAGAAAAGTAATCTCCATGTACATAATAGCCCTTTTAGGTGAAAGGTAGCAAACAGAATAAAATCCATGAAACAAATTTGGCAGAAGTGCCAGCTGGTGTATAGTAGTTTGCATTTGCATAAGAAACAAGCACAAAATGTACCTAAGCCAACAAGCATTTGATACCCACTCTGATCAAAGGTGAAGGCTTGGGGAGGGGTTAGGTTTCTCTCGGTAACTGCATACACAGAAAAAGGAAAGCCATTAAATTGCAAAGCAGACCATTGAGGATTGTTGCATTTTCCTGACTCTTTCCAAGCCCATTGAATAATCTCAGCAATCTAAGTATCTGTAAAGATTTCGACAAAGAGCAAATGAAGGCCTTATTGTGAATTTCACCTACAAGGGCAGCTTGTCTCTCCAGCTTTGTTCCTTCCATTGTGATGGAAAGCTGTGCGAGTATCTACTGTCTGGTTCTTACATGAAGAAAACGAGGTTCTGCTGTTTGAATCTGCAAGGGATATTGTGACATCCAATTTTCATTGTTTTGGATAAAACAATAAACGTGAAGAGCCCCTTAGCTATATGGAAGGACTTTATGGGGTAATGAGAATCAATGGAGACAGCTAGCTGATTCCAGGAGGAGTGAGATCTGGTGACACTCACCTCTAGGCTGCAATGTACTGATGATGGTGTTTCCAGCGATGCACCAAAACCTGGCATACTCGGTTTTGTCCGAGATAAGGAGTGTATTTATCCCACAGACATGGAGACACCCATGCCGGGTCTGGAAGCATGGTAACTGCATTTATATTGGGCCTGCTCTGAGTTAATGGGTCCTGTTGGAAATGCAGCGCTATGTTGGTACAGTCAAACTTGTCCTGCATCCTAAGTCTACAGTGAGCTGTGCTGTGTAGACTCACCGCCTCGAGTCATAAATACCTTATGGATTTCAGCATTGGTTTGCCTTTCATAGAATAAATACCTTTCCAATAGTTAGTTACTCATGGCACGTGGTTGGTCACTCACTTCAGCACATGATTGAGTCACCATCCCTGAAGGTATTTAAAAGACGAGTAGATTTGGCACTTAGGGAGATGGTTTAGTGGTGGACTTGGCAGCGTTGGGTTTATGGTTGGAGTCGATCTTAAAGGTCTTTTCCAACCTAAATGATTCTATGATTCTATTCTATGATAGTTCAACCTTGTGAGCAAATGATAGAACCATGCAGGTGCATAACAGAGCACCTGGGACCCACAGGTACCCTGGCTTTTAAGTCCTCATTCTTCAATAACTGCACAAAGCAAATCAGAAGGAGGGGAAATTAGAGGAAATCGTGTTTGTGGAAGAAGGAGTCACATAAAAATCAGCGATGGAGGTTCAGGCCACCGGAAGAGACAGTCTTCTGCTCTAAACCTCCTCATGCATCACCTGTCTGTCTGTATAACTACGCAACGCTGAATCATAATTTTTCAGCAATCACCTGCAGCCATACGCTTGGTGAGGCAGCGCTGCTGTTGGTACGTGCACTCCCTGGGGTGTGGGTTAGCACAGACTCTCGGCTGAAGAAGCATTCCCTTGACATTTCTGCTTTCCAAGGCATTCACACAGACATTTACAAGAGCAAATCTTGCCGAGCACAGAATTGGCTGAAGTAAATAATCATATCTTATGTTCATTTGAATGCCTGATCCTGTTGCTGTTTAGCTTTGCCAGCGTATTCAGAGTAATATTCTTTGGAAGCTTCTTCAGCAAAGTTCTGCCTGGGGTTTGCTACAGTTGGAAGAAAACACCAGTTTCCAGCTGAGTTTCCTTGAAGCCTTTGTGTGGGTAAGTGTTTTATTTGGTGTATTTTTTTATGGGCTGTCTTGGAGCTAGCTAGTTATGCAGGCTAAGGATTTTGGGCTTCATTTAATAAAGGCATGGGGCTTGATTTAATAAAGGCATGAGGCATGTAAAACAGGTCATGCAAGACCAGGACTGATGACTTACACTGGTCATGTGAGACCACAGCCATCCTTGGGCTACCACCTTTTGGAGATGCCTAAACTTGCCAGGCACTTGATTCATTTGCCTAAACGAGGCACGCATTGCATTAACAGGTGCTGTAAGGTGGCCAAGATATCTGCAGCTGTGACACAGAACATCTAGGAGACTCAAGCACTTTTAGAGTGGGATCCGGAGGCCACGCAGGCTACTCAAGGACATCTTAAATGGCACTGGATGTCTGTGTGTGAGCATCTCAGTTGAGACCAACAAGGCATGCTGCTCTGGTTGGCTTGACATTCATTTTTTGTTTGCCTTGGAAGTCGAAGCACCCCTGCACGCTGTGCGGCACACGTGCCTGAGCCTGCTCCAGTCGGCACAGTGCCCTCAAATTATTCATTGAGTGCCCAAGGCTAGCTTCTAGGTAGAAGTTAGAGCACTTCTGGGGAAAGACGGCTTTGAACTCTACAGGCAAGGAGAATTGCATCTGGGTTTCCCATAGTCCTGGGCAAGGGATGTGACCACCAGGCCTGTCTCCTCCAGCTGTCCTTTGAAGACAGCATGGCTGTGGCTGCTGGGCTCAGCTGTAATCAGTGCTGCCATAGC